TTAGAAAAATCTAATTTTAAATAATTAATATTAATTGCGAATATTTAGCGTTTTTTTACAGTATAAAACTGCAGTGACTTCTGTAACAATAAATTTTTTTAAAAGCTGAGCATAGAGTAAAAGAAAGAAAAATAAAATATTTAGAAAATCAATTAGCAAAAATGTATGAGTAAAAATGTAAAAAAATACCTTTTCAAATCAAGTAATAAAAGATTTTGATTAAAAAAAGAAATAAAAGTTAATTGATTGAAAAGTCAATTTCTTAACTCGAATTCTCAAGGGCTTTATTCTGATTTTGCTCATTCATTATGAACAAATTTAATTATATTTTTATAAGTTTAATTTGCGAAGAATTGTGGAAGGCAATACAGACTCTAAACTAGTTATTAAAAAAAAACTCTCTAAAGTTTGTTAGTATACTTGCTAACTTTAAATTAATAGCAATAAATGGATGCAAATAAGGACCACAGACGCAGATTATCTACAGTTAAAAAGTGGGAAAAACTTTTGAATTGCGAGTTAAAATACGATTTAAATGGTGATGAAGTTATAAGATTAAGATGCAGTTTATGTAAAAAATTTGAAAAACGGATAAGTCAAACAAAATTGTTTTCTATGACCTGGATCAAACCAGGAACAATATCAATAAAAAAAGACTTACTGGCAGTGCACTTAAGTAGTGCGCAACATAAAGAGGCCACGCGAATTCATCAACAAACAACATTAGGTTCAGTTTCATTATTTAACCATGTTATTCATAATACTCCTATCGGGCGTGGTTTACGTAATATGGTCGTAAAAGACGCCGACTCGTTACGAAAAAAGTTTAATATTGCATATTACTTGGCAAAACGAGAGCGTCCATTCACAGATTATCCTTATTTGATTGCTTTAGAAAAGACTAATGGGGTTACAAATTTAGGAAATTCTTATGGCACTGACCGTGCAGCTGCAATATTTACAGATTACATTGGCACAGTAATTAAAAACAAATTAACTGAATGTTTAAAAAATTGTAGATTTTACTGTGTTCTCTGTGATGGAAGCACAGATTCAGCTGTATCGGAAAAGGAATTGATTTACATTCTTTATTTAAAAGACGGAAGTCCGAAAGTAGAATTCTTATCTATTGAAACGGCAGAGAATTCTAATGCTGTTGGCCTGAAAAAATGTATAACTGATGCTTTTACAAGAGTTGGCATTACCAATTCTTATAAACATCTATTGGGTGTAAATCTTGATGGAGCTAACGTTAATCTAGGAGCTTATGCTAGTTTAGGCGCATTACTAAAGGAAGGTTCTCCTTGGCTGGAAGTTGTACACTGTTTTAACCATCAACTTGAACTTGCTTTAAAAGATGCGTTTGAAAGTTTATCTGCCTTCAAAACTGTTGACGAACTCCTTTTACAACTTTATTACTTGTATCGAAAGTCACCAAAGCGCTACCGAGAACTACAAGGATTAGCCGCTACCAAGAACTACAAGGATTAGAAAATTATGGTGTGTTTATGACACATATTAAATCATTGGCTATAACAGACTCCCAGATAGCAAAGAGAGCAGAGTTAAAAGGTTTTTTAAAGCGATGGAAAAATGCATCTGTGCCTATTAATTTATCAATATATCTTGATGTTTTATCTCCCCTTTGGCATTTGAGTTTAAGTTTTCAGAACAATATTCATGATCCAGTAAAAGCTGTAAGAAGAGTCCAAGAATTTACATGGACAATGGCCAAGCTGCAAACTCTTTTAGAAAATTCGTTAGACAATTTTCTTGATGATACAGGTGTTATGACACATTATAAAAGACTGTCTAAAGATATTGAGACAATTGATTCAAAGCAATGTTATCAAAATATTCCACTTTCTCAATATACCGAAGTTAATAGCCATGTTCTTGACCAGTACAAACTAATTATTGCAAATATTACTATATGTATGGAAGGCCGTTTTCAATCTCTCCAAAAATCACCATTGTTTATGCATTTGGTAGCTTTATTTGATGTTTATAACTGGCCGTTAAATGTGAATGACGGTACTTTTGGCGATAAAGCTATCAGTGAAATTGTTAAAAATTTTTCTGAATTTTCAATTGGTGTAGGATGTGATTTGAATAATATACTTCATGAGTGGATCATTTTAAAAGCATACATGTTTCCCATCATAAGTAACAATCAAAATGAGTATTATTTGAAAATTTGGGAAATTGTTTTTTCCAAATCAAGTTTGGTCAAAGAATGCTGAAATAAAAATAGTTTTTTTTTTCTTGATATTTTTGAACTATTTTTAATTTGTCCTTTTACAAATGCGAAAGTAGAACGAATGTTTTCATATATAAATCGCGTAAAAAATGACTGGAGAAGTTGTCTTAGACGAGATCGTTTAGAATCTCTACTTCGGATAAGCGAAGAAAGTCCTGAGATTGACAAATTTGAACCTGATACTGCTATGGACGAATGGTATAATGATAAAGTTAGACTATTGTCAGCAAATTTTCATCG